GTGACTACCAGGTTTTGGGGTTTTTTATTAAGTTACTTATATTTTATTTATGCACTTTATTGTAATGGTTGAGTTTTAGGCTGACTTATCTTAGTGGGATAAGACGAGTGCCATCACGTCCATTTTTTGGTCGTGACAGTTTGTTTAAGGAAAAATATTACCCTTTTGACACCGAACTCGGCAAAATTAAATATAAGTATTACTTTGTATAGAACTAATCCAGTTGAGATGTTAAAAATAATTTTGTCTATCACGTTGGATTTGTAAATTTGTGCAAAACTTGTATAGTTTTTGTTAGAACCTTAGTTTATGCGAAGCAACTATTGGAACAATGGACCGAGCTTCACCTCTTAGCTTTGTAAAATTATTCATCAATATAAAGATCTCATCATCATACATTTTTTTTTTTAAATCAAAAAAGATACAAGAGATGATGTAAAGTCAATTGGCTTCAATTTTATTGACAAAAATCAAATCATTTGGCTATTCACCATTTGAGATTTCTAAAGACTAATTTAGAGAATTGAGGAAGACGATGAACTCTTAAGAGGAAGGAAAGATGAGGGGGAAAATGTAATTTTGAAATTAGAAAATTAATTAGAAATAAATTGGTAACCTGTGATAGCAAGTCAACATTAGCCGATAGTGTACAAAAAATACACTAACTACACTAACTATGCACAAAACTTAAATTCTAATATAAGTAATTTTCTAACAAATCGTTAATGAATTAATTTTAAATGGAGTGGGAACAAGAAACAAGTACAATTATATATATATATATATATATATATATATATATATATATATATATATATGTATATATGGCATGGGAGTTCAATGTTTCAATGTGAACCTATTTAATCTTTAATTCATTTTATAAGAATGATTTCTTTCGAAACTTAAAAATAATTTAATTTAAATTAAATATCTTATTTTTTTTATAATCACACAAGTATTATGTCATATTTAAGATCATATTTTTTAGAAGTTTTATAACCACGTAAAATTTTTGACATAGTTAAAAATCTTTATTTTGGCTTGAAATTTTGTGTCCATACAAAATATGTTCACAAAAATTGAAATAGATCGAGTAAAGAATGAAGTTGATTTCACAAAGAATATATGAATATTCTCTATGTATGAATTGACATGCATATTAAGAAAATAATAATTGACATAGTAAGTTTATCATTTTATCTTTATTAAAATTCTGAAGTTCATGAATTAAAAATTTAAGATTTTCAAGAAGTTCTACATTTTTCAAATTAATTAATTAAGGGTATAATAGGTAAAAAAATTATTCCTTGATTTGTTAAAATTGACATATAAAAAAATGGACAAGTAATTAGAAACAGAGGAAGTACTAAACAAGATACTGGACAATTTATTTCCGATATTGTCACCCCCTGAGCCTACACCCTGGGTGTGGCCGGCACTCAATGACCATTGCTGATCTTGAGAGGATCCTTGACCTGACATACTTAACTTAGCGGAAGACTTAACTCAATGAAATTGTCTCATTCAATAAGTTAAAGTAAATAAGTTGGTCAAAATGACACTTAAGTCTCAATAACAAAATACATCCAATACAAAGAAGAGACACAAAACTAAACTGTCTATCTATGAAGCCTTCTAAAATACAGGTGGACGTTGAGACAGACCCCACAACACCCTATAAAAAGAAATACTAAAAGCAATAAATGTGTCCTCTAGAATGCAAGGAGGCTCACCACTGACTACAAGTGCTCAACTTGATCAACGAGGAGTTAGATGATGCTGATCTTGATTACCTGCGTCTGTATCATGATATGATGCAGGCCAACTGGCATCAGTACATTGAATGTACGAGTATGCGAGTTGGAATGCTAAAACAACTTAAGCTTGAAAAGAGTAAGAAGGAACACTTACGCTGGCTCTGCTCAACTCAAGAATAATATGACTCAATAATACTGACTCATTTCAATATAAAGCAATTTAAAAGCAAGTACAATGTAAAGAAAAGTTATTCGAAAACATGTTGTAAGTTCTAAATGTATACAAGGATACAAATAACTTTGAGATGTATCTATAAATACAAATAAAATGATGTGTATACATAAATACATTTAACTTCTGTGTGAGTTTCTCTGACCGACAACCATCACATAAGCGCTACGGTAATGATACAATGATCTACTCACGCTATCAGTGCATGCTATACTCGGCCAAAGGTATAAGACTTGAACTGAGTAATGGATCCACAAGTACTGTAAAAAGGGTTCATCTAAAAAGTATGACCCTTTTCAACCCATGGTGGCTAAATGGTTTATGGAGGTTGTGAGTTGTCTGAACTTTCCTCATATCCGTGCTTAATACTACTCTAAAAATATATATTGGCTCTTATATTTTAAAAACATACTAATTCTGTGGTTTGAGATTAGAGCTCAAAATACTTAGCTCAAAGGCTATCTTGGAAATAACAATTTCCCTGCTTGCTTCATTTAGAAAGTTATTTCTCTTTAACTGAAAACTAGTCCGAAGTCTCTTTTGAAAAAAAGCTTATTTGTACTTATAAAATCGTAAAAGATACGAGAGTAAGTTGTCAAGTGCTTAGTAGAAATCTAAGAACCCGTTTGAACATGCAATATTAAATCATAATTTGAAATCATAATATGAAATTATGAGATGAAGTTTGAAGTTTTGTTTGAACATGTGATTTGAACTTTTTATATTTCATATTTTTTCAAAAATAAAAGACTCAATAAGTTGTAAAGCTATTAAAATTGTCCTAATGCTTTATACAATCTTACCCAACAAGTACAATTTTATAAAATCGCATAATACACTATCATAAATATATTCTAAAGAGTAAAATATTTATTGATCAGACGTTAATTCAATAAAAAAAATATTAAATATAAGTTGTGGTGTGCTAGTTTTTTAGTATAATTCTCCCACATAGATGAACAATCTTCTCATGTTGAACTTGCATTCTCGTTCATATGACTAAGAAGACGAACCAACATTGTTACTTTGAGTTATTTGTTGATCAATTTGATCGGTACATTTATTTGATAAAAAATAATTAATTCTGATTATAAATGGTAGAGTAGAAATTGATTTGAAGTAATAATAAATTCTATGTGTTAGTAAGAATAATTATTATATGAGATATTAATGGTTTTAAAAAAAATTAGTATTGAGATAAATATAATGACTAGTTAGCGCATATGAGGTTGTTTTTACAAAATATAAATTTGTGAGTCAATTTTTGTATTTGAAAAATGTTAAATCGTGATTTGAAACTTCCAAGTTGTGATTATTGGAGAACTTGAGATTTTATCTCATGATCATGAGATAAAATCAGCATGAAATCGCATGTCCAAATACTGATTTCATCCCATGATTTTATATGGCGATTTCATATTGCTTATTCAAACACCTACTAAGTCTTTGATAAATTGGTATGAGAGAAAATGTTGATACTAAGAAAATAACTAATGAAGGAGATATCAACACTGCTAGCACCACAAACATCAGACACGATGGTGAGAAGAAGCACAAAAGGAAAGGATCTTACCTTAAAAGTAACAAAGAATTGTTACTCGACCATGAATTAACAAAAATATAAATTTATGAGTCAAATTTCTTACATTGACAATTAAAATAAAATTACAACCATAAAGTTGAAATCCTACTTTTTTGAAAACTTGTAACTTCTTCATTATTTAAATTTGAAGTTAAAATTTTTGTTCAAGACTTATAAATAAACAACATGACAAGAGTAATACCATAAAGTGCAGTCTAAGAAGGATAGAGTAGATGTCTACCTTCCCCAACCTCAGAGATAGAAAGGTTGTTTTCAGTAAACCTTCTACTCAAGAACAATAGTCCAAACAGTTCATGAAAAAGAAGTAACATATGTGCAAAAATATTAGCTAATAACAAAAACAACATATGGTAACATAACAACAGCTACAAAACAATATTATAAGAATAAATAACAAAAATTGAATGACAAGAAATTATAGAAGCAATACTACAACGATGAAAGCAAGACTAAGTTCCTGTAGGCAAGGCGGTATTAATATGAACGAATAACAAGATAACACACTACAATCTGCTAACCTTCTAGCCTTAAACCACTTCCCCCCACCCACCCCCCCACTCCTATTAAAGGTCAAGTCGATAAGCTAAAACTGAGACATATATAACCTGTTTACTTTGTCGGTTTACCTCTCCTTAAACTGTTTATAGGTAAGTATTTGCTTTTATATATATATATATATATATATATATATATATATATATATATATATATATATATATATATATGTATGTGTGTGTGTGTGTGTGTGTGAATTATTAATTTGAAAAATTAGGCTATTCTAATACCGTATTTATTAATTATGATTAAGTCACATTGTAAAATTGTACAAGGGTTGAGAAACTTTAGATAATTTTACACACATTCTTAAATTTCTCTGTTTTTTATTAGAACAAGTAGTACGTCACTTAAAATTTGATGTTCAAATAAAGGGGCCCAAGTACCACATACATAGAATGAAATAGTTTTTTATAAAACGAGTAATCCCTATATAAGAAGAGCATGGACGCGTACCAATAATTTCTGTAGATTGAGTAATTCCTATTAGTATATGTTTCCTATAAATTGATATTAGTGTAGTTTCTATTAATTGATGTTTCGTATAGTTTCCTATAAATTGAGTAAATCCTATTATGTATTAATATTCTCAGAAAACATATTGCAGCTTTAACTCCTCGTGATTTTGAAGCTTGATTCTATTCATCGCCAATCTGGTAAATACATTAATTTCTTCTTCTTTTTTGTCGATTAATTAACACGAATACATTTCGTAATGTATTTAATACTTGTTCAAGTCTTGTTTTTCTGGTAACAAGAAATTGAAGATAATTCTTTTCTAGCCGTTAGGGACCTTGGTTGACTGACTCTTAGGAGAAGAATGAAAGCATAATTTTCTTGAAGTGTAAGCAGAATGGGAAGATCAAAAATCAAGGTGGAACTAATTCAAGATGACAAGAAGAGGATGAAAACTTTAGTGACACGAAAGGCTGGCTTGTTCAAGAAAATTTCAGAACTCTCTATACTTTGCGATATCAAAGCATGCATGCTCATATATGATGAAGGAAATAATAATAATTGTGAAATGTGGCCGAATGATCCAAATGAGCTCATAAATCTATACAAAAATCAACCATTTGAAGGACCAACCAAAAGGGGTAAAACATTGTCCGGAGATGAGATCAAAGTAGAAAAGGATCCGGATTCAAGATTTGACTATTTCGAGAATAATGAGAAGAAAAAGGCTGATGCGATCCAAGTAGAAAAGTATCCTACTTGGGATTCAAGATTTGACTATTTATCTCAAAAAGAATTGCAAAATCTTGCTGGTGTTCTTGAGAATAGGATGGAGAATGCAAAAGGAAGAATAGAATTGTTGAAGAGCATGAATGGAAGTTGCTCACTTTCTCATCAACAACAAATATGGGACTATAACAACTTGATGAACCAAACTACTACTCTGTCTAACAACAACTTGTTTCAATCAAATATTCCAATTAGTAGTACTGTGAATTCAATGGGAGCAGGGATGGATTATCACTTTTGTAATGCTAATTATTGTAAGATGAATGAGTCTGAAAACTGGTATGGAGTTGGTTCAAGTTTGACAATGATGCAGCATAATATGGCAAATAATGGAATTGGTTCAAGTTCAACAATATTGCATCTTATGGGGGATGATTATGGGATTATTGATTCAAGTTCAACAATGATGCTGCCTATGGGGAATAACGAAATTGGTTCAAGTTCGACAATGCAGCAGCCTATGTATCAGTACCCTTTCATGTACAATGGCTCTACCCATGTCATTGGTTCAAGTTCGACAATGCAGCCTCCTATGGGTCAGTACCCTTTCACAAACAATGACGACTCTACTGGGATATTGGTTCAAGTTCAACAATGCAGCCTATGGGGAATAATAATGAGATTGGTTCAACTTTGACATTAACGCAACCTATGGATCAGTACCCTTTCATATGCAATGACTCTACTTATGATCTGTCATATGGATTCGTGTAGATTTTATTATTTTGATCATCAATATAGTTTACAGTTTGTCTTTTGTTCATTTCTGAAGCTGTTGGATCGGAGTAAACAAATTAGGAACTGTTTTTTATGTAACGTCCTGTACCTTTTTTGATGAAAGACAAGGAGGACAAAAGTAGTAGAGGAATGTGAAGTAAAATTTGAGCAAATTGATTAGCTAATTTGTAGTTCAAACTCATTGAAGGGAACTTCAAAAACCATCATAATACTTGAAATATTATGTCATGTTGGTGTGCAAGTAGTTGAAGTGGGAATGGACACATACATTGTAAGTGTTTTCAATTTGAGGAATTGAATTGTGCAGAAGGAAGCAATTTTTTCTTTTTTTTAATAAAGTTCATTAGGAAAACAGAAAGTATACTTTTGAAATAACCCGAAAAATGGATTGTAACTATCTATGACATAGCTTTGGCTGTGGAAGTTGTAAGTGAATTTTTTTCCTTGTTCAGCTGACGGTACGATTGGGGATCACATTTCTCTCTTCTACTTCCTCATGGTGGATTAGAGAGATTTGATGTATGCATTCCTTACAATGTCTCAACAAATGGAAACTTGTAGAAACATCAAGGAGTTAATCTTAATTTGGAAGATATATATGCATCGTCAAAAGTTGCCAGCTCCTTCGTTCTTCTCTTGACATGCTTGAATCTTGATAGGAAAGTGCCTCCAGTTTCGGCTATCATCAGCACGCAATGTCTATAAATTTTCTTGAGGAACAAAATATATATCTGCAACTGGAATTGGTAATTGGATTACTTCAACAGACTTTGTAATGGTTTGTTAATGTTCCATTTCTTTAATGTGGTTAGATAACAATTTCCTTGTCTTTGCTACTAATAACTTTTGCTTCATATAACTCACATTTCTGATTTGATGAAACTGATCTTACTCCTCTCTCTCTCACTTTTTTGTTGTTTTATACTTTCCCCTTCTATTTTCCTTGTAAAAATGAATACCTCTTTCTTTTTGTTTGAAGCAATCAAATTGGGTAAGTATGTAATTTAATTAGGAATCAGGATACAGTACTCTATGTAATGATCCTAGTAACAGTATCATGCTACTCTCTACTGATGCACTATTATGCATATAAAATATATTTAAGTCAATAGGTGGTGTAGTTTTGAAATGGTGGCCTTGATATTACTAGTTTTAGTCCTTATTTGTTAGGGAAAACTACCTATATATCCACCTCTTTTTTTTTTTTTTTTTTTTCATAATTCCCGTTATTCTCTACCATTTCTAAAATTTTCATAAGGAAATACATAACTCACCAACTCCAAAAACTAAAATTTATGACTTTTTGATTTCGCTCTACAAATCTCTCCCTATTTTTTTATCAATTAGTTTCTCCGTTACTTTTGAAATTCAAAATCAAGTTTATATCTTGTCATAACTAATTCAAAGTAAAATAGGTAATCTGTTTATCTTAATGAAAATATAATGTTTCACATTTGTAATCTTAAGATATTATTTACTAAATAATTAATATCGTTTTACATTGTTTATTCATTTTTAGAAATATAAAAATATAATTCAAATAGAAATAATTAAATATTATAGAAAATATAAATTTAATAAAATAAAATTACAATTTAATTTATATTTGCTCGTGATAATGGAGATGAGTTGTAATCGTGATGACCGTAATGATTGATATCAGTAACGGTAGTGGTGATTGGTGCAATGGTACATGTAGGACTATCTGTAGTGATTGACGCAATGGGGATGGTTACCAGTGATGATGATTGTGATAGTGGAGTCCGTTGATGTTAGTAGTTGACGTTGTTGATAGTATTGGCTAAAGAAGTATGGTGGTTGATGATTGTGTTGGTGATAGTTATGATAATGGAAGTGATTAGTAATACGGCAAAGGTTGTGCTGGTGGTAATGACAAATGCAGATTTAATTATAATGATGGATGTGGTAGGTGTTGTAGCAACTGACAATCATCCGTGACGAGGATTGTCAGGTGGTTAAAGGATCTGACCACAGAGAGGTGGTTGATGATTGTGACAACAGAGGTGGTTGCTAGTAATAATGGTTGTAACGACAAAGATGGTTAGTAATAATGGATAGTGGTTATGACAGAGTGGTGGTAAAAATGTAATAATGCATCTTAGTTTCTATTAACAGGACAACTAAGCATATGAGGCTGCTGGAGAAACAGTATGCCGAAGACATTTCTAAACAGCAAGCATAAACAGTTTGTTTTGCACTTAACATCTTTGAGCATACCTTTATCCAGCTGCAGCATAATGCAAATGATCTACTTATATCATTCACTTAACTTATGGCTTCAACAGAAACTAAAGCCATTTGGTTAGAAAAAATTCTAACTTTCAAACAAAGGAACCATCAAACAATGTCTTTTATACTGATAAACGAGACATTGGTCTCGTTGGAAGAGTATACGGTAAAAATTAAGAGCAATATTACAAGGATGGGAATAGGAGCCAAAAAATAGTGTTCTTGTAACAAAACAACAGAAGATTCCTCTCACCTTGTGGCTTTCTCTATTCGTTTGTAGTTAAATCTCTTTCTTCAACTCAGCACGTCCAAGAAGCTGATCGTTTGATTACAGGTTTCATTTGCTTGTCCTCTTCCAATGCAATCATTCCCAAATGTGAAGGATCCTCCAGCAACATTTTTGCTACAAGATATCCAGCGATTGACCATGTCTGATACTTTCTCGCTTGTTTACCAATATATCTTCCAACTGTACCATCATAATATTCAGGCCAGGAGTCCTTAGATAAGCGGCTCTCAGCAAGATCTATTGCTCGTCTTGCAATTTGTGGTCGTCCCGTCTTAATGCAGGCAGCGGTTAGCAACCATAAAAGCACTGCAATTTAAGATGCACATTAGACATTGCATTAAAGAGCATGACATCAAACTTGAAGCAATAGCCTATGCATCTTATTTCTTTTAGCCAGTGCACAGAAACAATATAGATGCTTCTAAGGAGAGTGGGAGAGTAAATAATTTACGAAACACACATTCTACCAGTAAAGTTATTAAGTTTTTTTAACACAATGTGAAGTCCCATAACTAAACTAACTAATAAATCCAAAATTTGCTCTACACTGCTTTCTCTTTCTGGACAAAGAAGTTGCACTACGAAATCACGCAAGTTATTATGAAATTAAGTAGCAAATCAAGTGAAGTGCTGAAGGAAGATGGAATAACCTGGCCAAGATCCACCATTATGGTAGCTCCACCTGGTATTCTTGGGATCACAACCAGTTATATGTCGCCAATCATGATTTTCTAGTGCAGGATAAGATATTTTTAAGGGCATTTCTGCTACTAGCTCATCCCAGCGTGCTTCTATGAGATCCATAATAGCGGAAGCTTGTTCTGGAGTGGCAAGGGAGGACAATATAGCAATACAGTTACCTAAAGCAAACCATCTGAAGTCCATCCTTGCAGGACTAACATTCCCAACAAAGTAACCACCACGTTTAGGCACAAATTCAAATACCCAATCTGGGATTGAATCAGGGATAACATTAAACTTATTTACTGCAGTATGAGAATATTCTTCAGTTTTATAGCGGTAAATGTCGTTTAACTGTTGGAAATCAAGCCAAAAATAACTTCTCATGTGATAACTCAATGCATGTAGACGCTTCACTATTCTCTCAACGAATTCTCCCCCTTCTGTATCGTGCTTCAACATTGCCAAAGCACTTCGCAATGCCATAAAGAAGAGTGCTTGGATCTCAATAGGATAACCATAGATTCCCTGAAATACCAACCATCGTAATTTAACAACTCAATAATATCTTTTCAAGGACATAACTTCCATCCATCTATTGTGCACAAGCAGTTACAAAGCAATTCTGTTATGGTAGTCACATCAAACCTTTTTTTAGACCAGAGAAATCTTCTGTTTCAAGATTTGGATATTAGTGGATGACGGGCCCGTCCCACTAGCCTTCTCTAATAATGGGAGTCACATCTATCATTTTCATCAGGATAAAAACATTGACTGGAGGCTGGCTATTGTCGTGAGGCAATTCAGTTCACATAAAATTCCAAGTCATACATAGATCAATTAATCATCAAGAAGCAAACTCTGATGCTTATTATGTGCTTCAAAGTACTTCTAACTATGATTATAACAGAATTCCAAAAGGTGATCTTAAAGTTATACGGAACTTTAGGCTTTCGCGTCTAGTATTAGAATATGGATGCACAAGCACAAGGTAATTAGCAGAAAATTTTATTTCTTGAACATTTTGTTGAATACTGGGTAGCATGTATGAAGAGACGTGAGATAGGAAATACCGATTGTAGTAAGAAAAGTAGAAGTTGTATGTCCTTAGTGGCTGAACAGAAGGAGCAAGAAAAACAAAGGGAAAAAAAAGGTAGCTCACAAAGTTGAAAACGAAAAGGATATGGAAAGTCATCAGATGAGATTATATACAAGACATGGTTTTTACTTTTTAGTAGCATTCTCATCACAAAACCAATCACAATCAGGTAAAAGAGATAAACAGCATACTCCAGTTATCTCATAGATTTGCAACTTTAGCTACAATAAAAGTTAAATAAAGTAACAGATTAAACAAGTATCACTTTAACATAAAACACAAGGAATATAAAATCTATCGTTACATGCTATAAAGAAGCATCAATAAACTTTCTATAAAACTGCTTCAACATCATCACCGCCCTTCTTTATTTCTACATACTTGGTAAATAACAAATACAGAAGCATACAACACAGGAAAGACGACAAATGAAGTAAAAGCAGCTTAAAAACAAAAGAGTGAAAGCTGCCAACCTACAACAAAGAAATAGCAAGCAGGGGCAAAGTAGAGAACGTGTCCATATGGTGGCTAGTAGAGACAAGATTGTCAAAAATGATGGAACGTGTTCCAAATCCTTAAAACAACTTTTAAAATGATATAATTATGTTTGCATGATCCAACAACTGCACTGTTCTAAATCAAGCTATGAATGCATAACCTAAATATAGTGCAAGCATAGAAACTATTAAAACGCATTGAAATTGATGTTGGGATCGAAATAATCTAATAATTGCAGATACTGACAGCAATAAATCAGATGACAAAGAAAAACTATAAATATTCTTAGTGATAACGGTTTGGTCAATTGACTTACATATGATAAAGACACCTATGAATAAATCTTCCCCTAAACAAAACTCTCTATATAACTACAGTGTGGATGCTACTATGTTCTAGGAGAAGAAAGGATCTTTCATTTATACAAGTCCAAAACTTCTCTTCCAAGAAAGCGTTAACACAATGATAATTAGGGCCCGTTTGGTCATAGATTTTCCAAATAATATTTGGGGAAAAATTTGGCAAATAATATTTGTCCATATAATTTGTCATTATTTGGCAAATATTTTTGACAAATATCCCAAATTTCCAAATACTAAGCTAGCGTTTGGCCATAAATTTTCAAATATTCTTGGCAAATGTTATTTGAGTGAAAATTTGGGTGAAATTTTTTGACCATGTGTTTGGCCATAGGAAATATATTTCACTTTTTAAAAAAAATATGATTTATACCCATAAGTTTTAAAAACTATTAAAATTAACTATAAGTTTGTATTACAAGTCAATTGGATGTCCATCACACTAGAACAATGTGGTAATTTGGAGCGAGTGCAACAAGTATCATTCCATACATCGTGAAGTAGACGAAGCACATGATTTTATTACCTTGAGTTAATTTTTCATCATTTTCATTACGATCATATCATTATTTAATATTCACTAAATATTTTATCACTATTTTGGTATTCACGTGAAAAAATTATGTAATACAACACAAACAACTACTATAGAGGATGGTTTTGTAAAAGATAAAAGTTTGGGGTAAAATTTTAATTTTCAAAAGATTCCAAATAATGAGATTTGACTCAAATACTAGAAAAAACTAGTATTTGGGAATTTGGGATATTTGCCAAAAATATTTGCCAAATAATGACAAATTATATGGACAAACATTATTTGCCAAATTTTTCCCCAAATATTATTTGGGAAATCTATGGCCAAACGGGTCCTAAATTTTTCTAGTATTTGGGTCAAATCTCATTATTTGAAATCTCTTGAAAATGAAAATTTTACTCCGAACTTTTATATTTTACAAAAACACCCTCTATAGTAGTTGTTTGCGTTCTATTACATATTTTTTTACGTGAACACCAAAATAGTGATGAAATATTTAGTGAATATTATATAATGATATGATTATTGATGAAAATGATGAAAAATTGGCTCAAGGTAACAAAGTCATGTTTTTTGTCTACTTCACGATGTACGGAATGATGCTTGTTGCAGCACTCCAAATTACCACATCCAATTGACTTGTAATACAAACTTATAGTTAGTTTTGATAGTTTTTAAAACTTATGGGTATATATCATATTTTTCTGAAAAGGTGAAATATATTTACCAAATCCTATGACCGAATAAATGGTGAAATTTCACTCAAATTTTTACTAGAATAATATCTGCCAGGAATATTTGGAAATCTATGACCAAACGCTAGCTAAGTATCCAGTTACGGTAATAAGTTGTGTGATATCACAATCACAAAAACAACCAATAATATACGCAAGTTAGGGCAAAAAGACAACTTACCATTCTTCTATCGATCATTGAGCATCCATCAGCACAGAGCAAAGTAGGAAATGTATCAAATCCTTCAGACAAACATAAGCTCAATATAAGCCTCATCCCCCTTTGGCACTCAGGAGTTTCAGCAAGACTGACATCTCCGGTAGATTTTGTGTATGCACGGAGAAGAATTATCCACCAAAATCCAGAATCAACTGGAGCTACTCTTCCAATTGCACTCTCACCAAAATCCGCCATGATCGTATCTGTCTTACGAACAGGATCATGAAGAACCTTGAAACTAGCTGGCATAACCCCTTCCCCCAGCTTGAATCTATCTACTCTTTTCTCCCACCCTTGAAGCTGTAGTGTCTTCAACAGGAAGTTCTTAACTATATCAGGCTCTCCATTCATCAGGAAGGCCAGAGCGCTAGGAACAAAATCTCGAACAAAGACCTACACATCCAGCAAAAACTTACATAGATACTTGAAACATGCTACTAAAATCGAAAATAACACATCCTGATCAAGCAAAATTGCTCAACGTAAATCTGAACTTCCCAATTACTGTATCTCAAAAATATAAATGGATTTCCAATTTTTTTTTTGTCAAAAGTAAGACCTGTATATAAAACCAATATTATGGAAAATACAACATAACTAATACCGAAAGAGAAACTACTTCAAAACTGGTATATTTTCTATAACAAGTACCTGATCATAATTGAGGACTTCCTCAGCAGCATGATCCACTGCAGCAATTGTACCAACTGGTTGGCCTCGAAAGTGAACCATGGAACGGCGTAGAGCATCCCAGGCTTCAGCAACCATTGGATGTGGCTCAAAAGAGTTTCGTGCCGACGAAGCTGGGGTGTCCAACCCAGACCTTCCCGGCGAGTAAGCATTCTCATAATTATCTAAACCTCTAGATAACCCTATGGATAACTCACTTAGCGACCTCTCATCAAAAGATCTCTGCCTCTCTATGTTAATCCTTGGCTTATCAAGAAGTTTCGAGAGATCAAAGTCATCCATCTCCGAAATGGAGCAGTGAGAGCTAACATTTTTCAATCCACTACCTTCCATCCTTGCTCTTAAAACCTTAAACTCACACAAATACAACAATTGCTCGTTTAGACGATTAAACAAGCTATATACACTCATGTAACAACACAAACTTCGCTTATCTATTTGTAGGAGAAAATGACATTTAGCTAATTGACAAAAAGGGGCAATTATATAAAACAAGAATATCAAACATATGGGAATTAATATATATACAAGCCATTGTCAACGGTCAGGATAAACAATCACATATATATTATTCAAAAATGGAAGTTATAAGAAACCAAATCAGGCAAATAGTGTGGCCCAACCGAAAAATCAGAAAAAAAAAATTAATAACTATTTGCAATATTCTCCATTTTCTCTTTAGGGAAAGATAATTAACCAAATAAATAGTGCAGTAATAATAATTTAATTACCATAATCAAAATAACCTTATCCACAAATTAACGCTCTTTTTAAAAAAAAGCATACTTGATATTGATCAGAAAATAAACATAACTTGAAAGATAACCAAAAATAAATTAAAATTTTAAGCTGAGAAAACGAGCTGCATTGCAAAGTCCACTGTAAAATTACGAAGAATTTGAGATCCAACTACTTGAACAAGAGCGAAACAAAAGATAGTTAAGCAAACTGAGATCCAAAAAGCACAAATACCAAGAAAATAGAAAACTTATAAAAGAGAGTAGAGTCCAGAGATAGACCTTAGCTGAGAGAATAAAAGGTAGTATTCTGCCGGAAATAATGGAGTCGGAAGCCGGCGATATAGCCAGAAAAATAAAAATAGAAATAGAGAGAGAAGAAGGGGGTAAGTAGAAAATGGAAGAAGAGGGGGAAAAAAGATCATACTGTGGAATGAAGTTAATTTATAGAGTGGAATTTTTATTTTAATTTTTTATTATAGAAAAATAAAAGTTGACTTTGGGAATACTCTAAATGGGGCCCACAGAACCCCTATTTTACAACCTATTTACCTTTTGTGTAAGAAGAAGAAGCCACAGCTAAGATATTGCAGGATAAGAACAAGACAGTACTAATTTAAATATATTTTTATATAATTTATACATGTATAAATGATGTGAAAATAAAAAATATAAACCAAACACGACTACCTCTTTATGAATTTATTTATTTTTTAAAAAAGAATGCTTTAAAAGGAATGTTAGTTTATGTATTTTGAAACTTTTTAACCTTAATATCCTACTTGACATGATTAAGAATTATGAGATTAAAATGAATTTTTGATACATAGTTTTAGTTTAAAAATTGCAAGGTTTCAAAATTATATCTTATTGTAGTTTTTGTTTAAACTTTTAAAAAGTGCTTGTAAGCGTATTTCTTTCTCAAAAAAATGTTTTCAAAGCAAAACTACTTATTTCCACTCATATTATTCCTCAAAAATATTTACTTTGTCTAAAAACTTGGCCAAACACCACACTTTTTTAAAATAAAACTATTAGTCTCCAAAAACTTAGATAAATAGGATATAAGACAAATAAATAAAAATAAAGTGAGTACTAATAATGCTAAATTTTATGTGATAATTATTTTTCTTCATTTTTATAACCAAATAAAATGTTAATTTAATAATTTTAACACACGAACAACTAACCATCAACTAACCCAATTACATTAATGGTATTGTTATGTTGATATTGTATTAAAGAACGAAATCTAAAAAAATTACTTAATCTTCACACTATTCAACCACCCATTTCAACTTAAAATAAAACTACAAAGAATATGGAGTCCAATTTAAGTAGGGATATAGACAACATCTGATTGAAGTTAGAGAAAAAAAATCATCTTAAATTTGAAAATAAGTATTGAGAGATACTTAAAGAGAGTTGGTAAACATAGTGAATAAATAAGAAATTAGTTGGGATTTCATTTAAAATCCTCCTCAATTAAACTATTACTTTAAAATATTCACCTATACTTTGCACAAATAAAAGCCAGTCATACACATATTGTCATAATTTATAGATATTATAAGGAATACTTTTTTTTATATAAAAAAAACAACTTATTCGTTCGAATTGTATAGTGATCATCAGTGGTATAGAAAATTTACATGGTGTGTCTAAGAATTGTATAGATAAAAAAATAAAAATTAACAACTGAGTGCTTTAAAAATTTATAAATCAATGCATAGATAATTATTATTTTTAATTAAAAAAATATAGCAAAAATTTTAAAATCAAACTGCATGATATTTATTTCAGACATTTTTGTTTATTTAATAGAAATTAAAAGGAATAAAGAGAAAAGAAAATTAATTTAGAATAAAATTTTATTTATACTTAAAGATTTTATACAGATACAAAAATATAGAGTACGAATCAAATGAGATTTAAGAAAATATACATATATAAAGCATTTTTCACTTTTAACAGCTTTACCAAAAACAAATATGATTTTAGATTAACATAAGATTAAATAATTACTTAAAGAAAAAAATGAAAAGATTAAAAGTTAATGGTTACCGGAAAACTCCTTAAAACATTTAAGTGGTGAGTCTTTAATTTATGATTATTTAATAGATGATATTAGTTTCAAATTATTTGAAAAAATAGCAGATATACAAATTAATAACTCTTTTGAAAATGTAAAAAGTAAAAAGTGGCTATTGGAAACAGAACTCACACAGATGATGTCCGCCTCAGCTTTGGTTGAGCGCTAAAATATAATGGTTAAAAATATTTATTATTTTAAGATTATTTAATATATTCAATTTAACTATATAAGTTATTATTTTACTTATATACGATATAATTTTCTGAGTTTCCGCTTGAACACCTTTGACACAGTGTAGGTCCATCCATTGTGATCATCATCACTAATAATACAATAATAAAATTGCAACTTACAATTATTTCATTTTTCATTTTCCCTTGATTAAAATTATATGCACCATTTTTATTTTATTTTATTTTGTTTTATTTTACTTTATTTTTTCAAAATGAATTATTACACCGTAAAAGTTAAATATAAATTAATTTGAATAATTGAATTATTTGAAATTCATGTGTGATGATAAAGTCATTTGAAGGGATCTGTTTCTTTCGAAAAGACATTATTTTTTTCAAAAGACACAACATTCTAAAAGTCATGATTGAATTGTTGCGTTCACACCATTGTCCGAACAAATACATTCCTTATTGCAAGTGGCTATAAATAGAGTTTTTTTTAATTTTTCAAAGCTGATGTTTTTTCTCTCTGCATACATTTTCTTATCGAAAACAAAATTGTTGACCAACTGCGTCTGTGTGTGCTCTCATTGTTGTTCTTGCGTTCGCTGAAATTAGTGAAGTTGAGGTACCGCTACTTCTCTTATAGTTGATCTGTTTTATCGTGGAAATAATTAATTTGTAACCTCGAATACTTGATGGAATCAAATTTCTTAAGTAAACACAATGGGTTATATGAACTCATATTATTTTTTTCTATCTGTTTAATTTTTTTTTATTTATATTTCTTCCTAATCTGAATACAAAAAATAACAACATAAATTTTCGAATCATAAAAATTAAACCTACGAAAAATCTAATCTCTAAATCTACATTCGTATTGATCACCCACACCCGAGTTTCCAAGTAAGGTAGAAATTAGAATAGTTGGTAAGACCTCCAAGTCAAAGTACGGGGGAATTGGCGGGAAGTCAACGTAGAAAGAACGGCGTAATTTTGGCCACTTTAATTGTTAGAAAGTCCTTATCGTACTTGTGTTTATTCTTACTCTTTTATCTTTCATTTTCTTTTACTTTTATTTATCTTTCGATTGTATTTAATAATTTCTATTCATTTTAATTTTTTTTTGAATATACATAAATTATTAATCAATAATTAATTCTGTAATTTACATTTTGATTTATTTGGGTCTTGGCTGTCATTTTATTTTCTACTTAATGAGAAAAGTCAATTATATTTTATTTATTTTTAGAAAAGGTAAAGTTTACTCTTAAGAATTTGAGTTAATACCTCAGATGGTCACTCAACTATGCACTCTTCTCTCAGAAAATCACTCAACTTTCAATTTTCACTCAAATGTTACTCAACTATGCACTTTTTCTCAGAAAGTCACTCAACTTTGAATGTTAACTTAAAAAGTCACTCAATTATCCACTTTTTCCACAAAAAGTCACTCAATCTATTAAATTATTCTATAATTAAAAATTATTGATATTAATTATTTATATAACAAACCAAAAATTTTAAAAAATAAATTAAGCCATTTAGTGATCCACCCACCTAATCCGACCCATTAAAAAATATGATGACTCATTTTATTTTGTCTTTAATCCTAAATTAATCCCTCTCTTTAAACCTTGAATTAGGATTAAAGACAAAATAAAATGGGTCATCGGGTTAGGTGGGTGGATCACTAAATGGTTTAAATGGTATTTTTATTTTTTAAAAATTTTGGTTTGTTATATAAATAATTAATATCAATAAATGTTAATTAAAAAAATAATTTAATAGATTGAGTGACTTTTTTAGGAAAGAGTAGATAGTTGAGTGACTTTTGAGTTAAAATTCAAAGTTGAGTGACTTTCTGAGAAAGAAGTGCATAGTTGAGTGACTTTATGAGAAAGAAGTGCATAGTTGAGTGACAATCTGAGGTATTAACTCTAAGAATTTTTAACAAGATGTCAAGATTGAGTCTTACTTAAAGGTCATTTAGTATCAAAGGAATACACTGATATTGATGGTAGACGGTACTCCCTCCGTCCGATATTGTTTGTCATGATTTCTATTTTTAGAGTCAAATTATAAAAACTTTGATTAACATTTTTAGATAAATTTTTTCATCATATTAATATGCAAAAAAATGTAATTTATAGTATTTTTTTATATGGTCTTAGAATATCTAATTTTTTTGCTTAAAAAATCAAATTAATGTGATCTAATTTACCTTTGAAAATTAGTCAAATTGACTTTTGATTAGCGTAACATGACAAACGATTTCGGATGGACGGAGTAGTATATTACTATGCGTAAATGGTACTATTTTCGACTATTTTTAGTTGTCATAATTTTTTTTAGAATTTAATTATAAGAGTTTTAACTAATATTTTATCATAGATTTTTCATTATATTGATTTGTAAAAACTACAATTTATAATACTTTTCATATAGTTTTTGAATATCTAATTTATTGTTTTAAATATTAAATTAATATAATATAATTTAACTTTGAAAATTAGTCAAATTGACTTTCGAAAAGCGCAACATGATAATTAAAATGGACTGAGGGAGCATGTATGTTGTGTTGATTATATCATAATATTATTATGGTCAAACCTATCGTTGACCCCATAAAATTAACAACAAGTTTCACTTAGACACCTCAACTGGTGATGTTCATTTTACACACCTCATATAAAATAAATATGACTTAATTCATAATTTTTTTAACCCCTCATGAATTCACACTGCCCTGCACTGATATATCATAAGCTTCATAAGCAAGTTCTCTCTCTATCATAGTTTAAATGTCATAATTTAACCTTGTAGAGTCAACTTTTTTAATTTTGATAGTAAGTTCGGATAAAAAAAAATTTCTGGAATAAACTTATATATCTAAAAATTACGTATTAAAAGATACTATAAATCATACAACAACAATATATCTTGTGAAATCCTACTAGTGTAGTTTGTAAAAGAAAGACTGTACGCTGACCTTATAATTATTCTGTGAAAATAGAGAGATTGAAATACTATAAATTGATACGCTTAAACTTACTTCTCAAATAAGAAGTAAAGCGGTCGTGTTAAGTAAATAACCCAACTAATGAGGTTGGGATCATTCCCACGAGGAAAATAGTTTAGACTTAAGTTCAATCTATTATTACTATT